AGAACCTTACCCGAGAAGTGCATGGAAATAACGGGTCGTCCACCAGCAGAGGGATGGGGACATTCGTACTCAGGCACCTCGTGGCAGCCACGGGAGGCCTGTGGACATGGGTCCCCAAAGCCGTGACAATCAGGGTCGAAAGACGCAGCCCACAGAGTGTGGACATTGCACACTCACATTGTTCTTGGAAAACAGTGTGTGCACGAAAACGTCCCACAGCAGAGCTGAGTCTGAGCACGAAGCGTCCCCTTACATACTTTTGTGTCAGACCTCGAACACCCTGCGAGGCCGTCTGCGTCCTCCAAGGCCACCGTGGCTGCTTCAGCAGAAAGGCCCTGAGCCAAGGTCTTTTGGCCTCTTCTGGTACGAAGCGTCTTTCTCCACACGCGAGGCCCCCGCTGGGAGTGAGCAGATCCACTGGGCTGTCTGCTGAGTGGGGGAGCCCTCCCGCTGTCCTCTGCAACCTCCAGACCAGCTGCCTCTCGTCCCACCAGCTCTGCGGGTATCCCACTGCTCTGACACTGGCCTCAGCCCCTGGATGGATCCTGGCCTGTCCCGGACCCAGCACCTTGGTGCCCTCCTGGGAGGGCTGGACCGTGTCTCTTGTCAGCACTGTGGATGCCCCCAGGGCCACTGTCGCCCTCCATCGGACTCCTGGCAGGGCAGGGCCACCTCCCCAGCCACTTCACTGGCCTCTGTGGTCACCCCAACCGTGGGCAGGCAGGGACCTCTGAATGCTCCTCGCCTGGGGAGCAGGGAAGCCACAGTGTGCCACCTGCCCCATCACAGGGCGTGAGAGCTGTTTCTACCAGGCCCACCAAGGCCCAAGGTTGAATCTGACAGGGAGAGCTGAGGTCCTGCTGTCCAGCCCCGTCCCCCCTCCTGCTGCTGGGGGGCTGCTCCTCACCCCCCACCGGCCTGCTTGACGCTGAGGATGAGACACACCGTGCCATGGGGACCGGCACCCCTCACAGTCAGACGGGCTGCAGGTCTCAGGTGTCTGTCCGCAGGTGAACCGGCCGGCAGGTAGCAAGGGGCTCCGACCCGGCTGGGATCCATGGCAGAGTTCCTGGGGGAGCTCTGTGCTGCCCTGACGCCCTGCGCACCCCGAGCCCCAAGCCCTGAGGTCCCCTCCCCAGAGCCGTGCCTGCCTTCCCAGGGAGAGCGTGGGGTGCCCACCCCTTCTGCCCCGCGGCGAGCTTCCTGTCCAGGTGCACCTGCCCCGCGGCCGGGGAGGAGCCGGGCCCTTCCGCGCGTCCCGCCTCAGTTTCATGGACCCGTCGCTGGAGAGCGGAAAAGAGGCCGCACGTGAGGGCCCCTCCACGCCCCGGGCTGGGCACTGCGACTCCTCTCCCAGAGCCGGGACCCCGAAGCCGCCCGGGCTTTGACACCCGCCCCCTCCCAGCTCGGGCGTGACTGTCACTTACGCACCAGCGGGCCGGGGCTTCCTCGGCGACCAGCCCGGCCTCGGCTCGGAAATGCCCCGCCTGGCCCCGCAGGCCACCAGCCCAGAGGCCCCGCAGCGGCGCCTGCCTCTGGGGGGAACTCAGGTGCACGGCGCCCGTCCCCGTCCGTCCCCGTCCCTCCGAAGCCGCGGCCGTCGCGCGTTTTCACTCGTGCATCCGGCAGCATCGACTCCGTTTCGGAGGCGCCGGGAGCACGGGATCCGCGTCCGGACTCTGACGCGCTGGGGGTGGCAACGCCCGCGACGACCCGGGCGGGAGGGGGACCAGGGGGCAGCGAGGGGACCTGTGCAGGCGGCGGCCGGTGTGGCCCGCGCTGGTCGTGACGTGGGAGCTGGGCTGAGCCCCGGA